AGCCATCCCTAGTGGCTAGTGTCTGGTCAATGGACTAATGGATGAGAGCTCTCTCTCTCTCTCTCTCTCTCTCTCTCTCCTTCTTGGATTAATTATTTTTAAAAAGAATAAGCTTTGGGGCTGGCACTGTGGTGTAGTGGGCTAAGCTGCTGCCTGCAGCGCCAGCATCCCATATGGGTGCTGGTTTGTGCCCCAGCTACTCCTCTTCTGATTCAGATCTCTGCTAATGGCCTGGGAAAGCAGCGGAAGATAGCCCAAGTCCTTGGGCCCCAGCACCCATGTGGGAGACCCAGAAGAAGCTCCTGGCTCCAGCCGTTGCAGCCATTTGGGGAATGAACCAGCAGATGGAAGACTTTTCTCTCTGTCTCTCCCTCTCTGTCTGTAACTCTGCCTCTTTCAAATGAAGAAGAAGGAAAGGAAGGAGAAGGAGAAGGAGAAGAAAAGAGTAAGCTTTTTATTTTAGAATAATTCTAGATTTTCATAGAAGCTGCAGATAGAACAGAGTCCCCAGCCTCTCTTTACTTAGTTTCCCCTGATGTTAACATCCTATTTTACCACAGGACATTTGTCAAAAATAGGAACCCAACACTAGCATATTATCATTAACAAAATTTCTGATTTTGCCCTTTTTTCTGTTCCAAGATCCAATTTAAGATACCAGATAACATTATTTATTTAGAGACTTAAAAGTATTAGAATCAAGGACTTCCAGCCAGAGCAGCGTGGAGGGAGGCTTCCAAAAGAGCAAAACCCAAAGGGACTGGTGGTAGTCGGCTTTTTAAGCATAAATTTGAAGGAAAAAAAAAACCAAAACTTGACAATCAGATTGGCATTCAGTTACCAGGCAGGGACAAAAACCATCAAAAGGCCTCATTTACAATCCTCCTTCCTTCTGGCCAGCTAGGGGTGGGACAGGTAACTGTTTTCACAATAAGCTGTGAGCTCAGGAGAGTTCCTTGCTATTCTCAGCCACAGAACAAGTAATCATCCTGTCTCTTTGATCTCATTCCCTTGGTGAGTTTCTGGTTTTTCCGTTTTTCATAGTCTTGGCAATAATGAACAATATTGAAGAGTCATTTATATGATAAAATGTCCTAAATTTGGACTTCAGTGATATTTCCTCTGTATATTCCTTTTGACCCAGCAATTTCACTAATATGAATTTATCTTATATGTAGATTCCCACATGTGTGAAACACAAAGTTAATCATGGAAGCATTTTCCTAACAGCAAAACACTAGAAATTACATAAGATCCCTCAAGAAGGAATTAGTTAAATGACTTATGGTATATCTATATGACATAATACTTTTTTTTTTTTTTTTTTTCTGACAGGCAGAGTTAGACAGTGATAGAGAGAGACAGAGAGAAAGGTCTTCCTTCCGTTGGTTCACCCCCAAAATGGCCGCTACGGACAGTGTGACAGTGCGCTGCACCGATCGCAGCTGCACTGATCCGAAGCCAGGAGCCAGGTGCTTCCTCCTGGTCTCCCATGTGGGTGCAGGGGCCCAAGCACTTGGGCCATCCTCTACTGCCTTTCCAGGCTACAGCAGAGAGCTGGACTGGAAGAGAAGCAACTGGGACAGAACCCGGTGCCCCAACCAGGACTAGAACCCGAGGTGCTGGCGCCGCAGGCAGAGGATTAGCTTAGTAAGCCACGGCGTCGGCCGTGACATAATACTTTCTAAAAATAAAATGCTTTCACAGCTGGGGCTGGTTTTGCAGAGGAGCAGGTTAAACTGCCACCTGAGGCACCAGCATCCCATATGAGTGCTGGTTCGAGTCCTGGCTGCTATACTTCCCATCTAGCTCCCTGCTCACGTGCCTGGGAAACCAGCGGAAGACAGCCTGAGTGCCTGGATCCCTGCCACCCACACTGGAGGTCTGGATGGAGTTCCAGGATCCTGGCTTTGGCCTGGCCCAGCATTGGCTATTGTGGTCATTTGGGGAGTGAACCAGTGGATGGAAGAACACTCTCTCTCTCTCTCTCTCTCTGCCTTTCAAAAAATAAATACATCTTTAAAAGAGGGTGGGAGGGGGATGGCATTGTGGCACAGCAGATCAAGCCACTGCTGCAATGCTAGCATTCCATTTGGGTGCCAATTCAAGTCCCAGCTGCTCCACTTCCGATCCAGCTTCTTGTTAATTCACCTGGGAAAGCAGTGAAGATGGTCCAAGGGCTCGGGTCCCTGCATCCATGTGAGAAACTCAGATGAACGTCCTGGCTCCTGGCTTTGTTCTGGCCCAGCCCTGGACACTGCAGCCATCTGGGGTCCTGACTGCTCTGCTTGCCATCCATCTGCTTGCTCATGTGACAGGGAAACAGCCGATGATGGATCAAGTACTCAGGCGTGTGCCACTCATGTGGGAGATGGGATGGAGCTCCTGGTTTCTGGCTTCAGCCTGGCCCAGCCGTGGCTACAGCAGCTTTTGGAGAGTGAACTAGTGGATGGAAGATCTCACTCTTTTCCTCTCTCTGTCACTTTGCCTTTCAAGTAAATAAATAAATCTTTTTAAAAGAGTGTGAATTTTTTGTGATTTGAATAATATTCAACAAAGATTTTTTTAAAAGTCAAGGATGGCCCAAGTTTTTTATTATTTTATTATTTTTAAATTTATTTGAAAGGCAGAGTTACAGAGGGAGACAGAGAGAGAGATTCTGCCCATTCGTTAGTTCACTCCCCAGACGGCTGCAATGGCTGGGTCGTGCCATGCCGAAGCCAGGAGCCCAGGAGCCTGGAGCTTCTTATGGGGTCTCCCACATGGGTGCAGGTGCCGAGCACTTGGGCCACGTTCTGCTGCTTTCCGAGGAACATTAGCAGGGAGCTGAATTGGAAGTAGAGCAGCCAGGACTTAAACCGGGAGCACTGCTGTGTGGCAGGCGGAGGCCTAACCCAATATGCCACAATGCCCGTCCCTAAAGATGTTATTTTTAAAAAGAGCAAAAAAAACCTCTGAAATCCAAATGCCAAAGGGCTTATTTCCCGAAATAAAAGTCTCCAGAAATCAACAGAAAAAAAAAAAAAACCCACAAATCTTTCAGAAAAATGGATAAATGACCTGAAGAGAGAGTTATTTAACCTTACAATAAGCAAGAAGCAAATTAAAACAAGATACCACTTTGGCAAGTAACAAACTGAAACTTACAAGTGCAGGAAGAGGCACTCCATATTGTCGCTGGTACCCTCTCTGAAGGAATGTAAATAAATGTAAATAAAGCACATCCTTTGTCCTGCCCATCTCAGTTCTCAGAGTTCCTGAGTTACAGCTTCCCACGTGCTCCTGGTACCTACAGGGACACTGACTTTAAAAGATGTCCAGCCAGCGCTGTGGCCCAGCAGGCTGATGCTCTGGCCTGAAGCGCCGGCATCCCATATGGGTGCCGGTTTGAGACCTGGCTGCTCTTCTTCCGATCTAGCTCTCTGCTGTGGCCTGGGAAAGCAGTAGAATATGGCCTAAGTCACTGGGCCCCTGCACCAGCGAGGGAGACCCGGAGGAAGCTCCTGGCTCCTGGCTTCTGGTCAGTGCAGCTCTGGCCATCGGATGGAAGACCTCTCTCTCTCTCTCTGCCTTTCCTCTCTCTGTGTAACTCTTTCAAATAAATAAAATAAATCTTTAAAAAAAATGGTCTACACAATTAATTAAAAACAAAACAAAACAAAAAGCTGTTCATAGGGGCCAGAGCTATGGCATGGCAGGTAAAGCCGCCACCTACAGCAAAGGCATCTCATATGGGGGACGGTTCCAGTCCCAGCTGCTCAGCTTCTGATCCAGCTCTCTGTGATGGCTTGGGAAAAGCAGTGGAACATGGCCCAAGTGCTTGGGCCCCTGCACCCACGCAGGAGATCTGGAAGAAGCTCCTGACTCCTTGCTCTGCATCGGTCCAGCTCCTGTCAGATGGTGAACCAGTGGATGGAAGACCTCTCTCAAAAGAGTTATCCATAAATGCACAAGAAGAGAAACTGCCTAACAACTCATCAGGAGAGAACTGACTACACAAGTTATACCGTCACCACACAACAGATTATAAAGTTGTAAAAAACAGGTCTATCTGTGGATTGCTAGGGAACGAGTGTCAAGAAATACTGTGCAACTGGAGCAGACGTAGTACTCTGTGTAAACATGCTATTCTCGGTGTTAAAGAGAAAGAGAGCACGAGCGGGCGGGACGCACACACGGAATGCGGCGGGCGAGAGGCTTCGGCACCGCTGCGTCGTTCTATTTGAACTTGATGGACCAGCATCCCTTGTTAGGGGGCGACAGTGAAGGCAGACAGAAACAATGCCACTCGGAAAGAACTCTCCTACTGGAAACCTGAGCGAGAGGGCGCAGAGCGCCTGGTGGTGGCCGAGCTGACCCAGGACGGCTCCCTGCGGCGGTGGCTTTTCATCCAGCCCGTTTGACGGGGGACCGTTATCGTTCCGGGGAGGCTGACTAATGCTGGCGAGGCGCACCCGGGCGAGGAGAGCCGACCACCACGAATACACCACGGCACTCCGTGCTAAGTAAGCCCTTCCTACGCAGTTCCTCGTGAATCACTCACGCCACCCTGGGAAGAAGACACTGTTTTACCCACTTAGGGAGGGGGTGAAACCTGCTCAGATTCGACAAAAGTGTCAGAGCCAGCAGGTGTCTAACTTCGAGTTTGGAATCTGCTGGATTCCCTGTCGACACACAAGAAGCAGGGGCACACTAACTCTGCGCCGCCTCGGAGGAGCGGAGAAAGGCCGCCGAACCCCCTAGGCAGGCGTCGAGCGCGTCAGGCCACCGCGACGCGCACCGCCCGCAAGGCTTCCGGGACCCACTCGCCGGGAGACACAGCGGGACCTGCTTCCCGGCATCCTCCCCGAGCGGCCGTTCACTTCCGGTCTTCCGTAGGCCCAAGAAGAAGCATCACCCTGCCTGCACCCTGCTCCTTAGAAACGCTCTCCTCCGGGATTCCCAGATCTACACCCCTGTCCCGCCGCCGCCCCAGTTCTCTCTCATCGCGGCCCCCTTACCTGCCCTGCGCCCCCCCGCGGGCCCCGGGGCCCCTCGCTGATGACCGCCCTCACCTCTTCTCTCTTCGCCTGCCGCGGCCTTTTACAAACACGGCCAAAGTGTTCTCTGTAACGACAGTCGTTATTGGTCAGAGCCTCCCACGCGCGGCAAGTGCCCGCCCACCTTGGCTCGCGTTGTCTGATGGGAGTTGTAGTTTCTTCTTGCAGACGGCGGAGAATTGCAAGAGGGTGGAGGGTAGAACCTACGCTCACCTGGAAACGCCATCGCTCAGGGACTTCCCTGTTGCTGGACAGTTTCTGGCCGAACCTGCCTGTGTGGAAGGCACCAGCACAGCCCCAGTAGTGTAACTAGTAATGGATGGGAAAATCGCCCGGATTTTCTACAGTAGCAGATGTCAGCCTTCCCCTGCTGCCTCCCAGGACGCTTTAGCGACAGCTGGATTGGAAGCAGAGGCACAGGGATTTGAACTGAGCACTCTGATATGTGATGTTGGCATCCTAAGTGAGGTGGTCTAAACTGCTGTCACAATGCCCACCCCAGTGCTTTAACATATTACTTAAATGTTATCCCTGTAATGATTAGAAATTGGCTTCCTGGATATAGTAGTTCTGGTCCTTGGAATCAAACAAAATAAATCTAAATGATCGTTATTCATGACTGCAGACAGCTCGCGAACACAGTGTGTTTCCAGGGGAGTCCTGTGTGTTCTGCAAATGCCAGTAATGAGATTTTCTATACCCTGGCCATTGGCTAGCTTCTCACAAGTAGTGGTACTGTGAGCAGGTTGCTTCCCCATTGAGAAGACTTTATCTTCCCAAGGCTACAGAGAAGTGATCCCTTCCAGGAGTAAGATTGTTTCTTAAACAGTAGGAAGGGGGAGAAAGGACCACAGTTTTTCCAGAAGACTTTTCAGTCTTACTTCCTCTTCAATTATAAGTTTTAAAAGTGCTCATCAGTATGTCCAGGACCATCTGATTGGATTCTGACAATAATGTGTGTTTTCCATGCCTGGTTTATGATCATATTGGTGCCAACTGATGGTTCAAAGCAGTCTCTCTCTCAACTGGGAGCGCTGTTATTGTTGCCTAGGGAATGGAGGCCATGGATGTTGTTAAAGATCCTGCAACGCCAGATGGCGCTGTAGCTCAGCGGGCAAAACCGCCACCTGCAGCACCAGCATCCCGTAGGGACACCAGTTCGAGTTCCGGCTGCTCCAATTCTGATCCAGCTCTCTGCTTTGGCCTGGGAAAGCAGTGGAAGATGGCCCAAGACCTTGGACTCCTGCACCAGCGTGGGAGACCTGGAAGAAGCTCCTGGCTCCTGGCTTTGGATCAGCGCAGCCCCAGCCGTTAAGGCCATTTGGGGAGTGAACCAGCGGATGAAGATCTCTGTAACTCTGCCTTTCAAATAACTTTTTAAAAAAAATCTAAAAGAAGCTGTCCTGAGCAACCCCGTTTCTCAGTTTTCTGGCATCTTCTCTCGGATTCCCAATGCGGTTGCTGCTGTAGCGCCCTCCCTGCGACACGGTGAGGCTGAGCAAAGCAGCCAAGCAGAGGCTGCAGCCTCTCTTCAAGGGGCAAGATTGATTCCCTGTGGCATTTACCTGGGTTTTCAGAGGGGTTCAGGTCCTGCAGTGCCTGCAGCAACTGTTCTGAGCCTACTTTGGGGATAAAGGACTATTTGTTCATCTGGACTTGAAAGCAGTCATGGGAGAAGGCCAATGGGGCACGCGTGTGGTCTGGCTGGGACAAGACACGGACATCATTCAGCCACCAGATGCATGGCCCAGGGCTCTGCTCAGATGCACTGGTGACAGCATGGAACTGCTACTGATACATCTATGATAGGTTGATCAAAATAAATATTTTTTAAAGAATTTATTTATTGCCTTGAGAGGCAGAGTTAGAGAGAGAGAGAGAGAGAGAGAGAGAGAGAGAGAGAATCAACCTTCCATCCACTGGTTCAGTCCCCCAAAGGTCGCAACGATCGGAATTGAGCCAATCAATCCAAAGCCAGATGTGGGGAGCTTCTTCCAGGTCTCCCACGCTGGTGCAGGGGCCCCAGCATTGGGCCATCTTCTACTCCTTTCCCAGGCCATAGCAGAGAGCTGGACTGGAAGAGGAACAGACAGGACTGAACCAGCGCCAATATGGATGCCGGTGCCACAGGCAGAGTCATAGTCTACTATGCCACAGCGCTGGCATATAAAAAAACTAGCGATTTCTTTCTCATAAGCCAGACACCCAGGGTCCTTCCATTTTCAAAGAAGGCAGGCCGGCGCCGCGGCTCACTAGGCTAATCCTCCGCCTAGCGGCGCCGGCACACCGGGTTCTAGTCCCGGTCGGGGCGCCGGATTCTGTCCCGGTTGCCCCTCTTCCAGGCCAGCCCTCTGCTGTGGCCAGGGAGTGCAGTGGAGGATGGCCCAGGTGCTTGGGCCCTGCACCCCATGGGAGACCAGGAAAAGCACCTGGCTCCTGGCTCCTGCCATCGGATCAGCGCGGTGTGCCGGCTGCAGCGTGCTGGCCGTGGCGGCCATTGGAGGGTGAACCAACGGCAAAGGAAGACCTTTCTCTCTGTCTCTCTCTCTCACTGTCCACTCTGCCTGTCAAAAAAAAAAAAAAAGAAAAAAGAAAAAGGACCTCTGAAGAAATGCTTCCAGGAGCACAGAAGCTCCTTGTGAGCCCTCTCTTCTAAATGGAATTTGCAGAATTGTAAACATTCTAAAGTCACGTTCTGACACAGTATGCCTTCTCTTCACACCATCTGAACTTGAGCGAAGTCACTAATTCACAGTGAGCATCCCTTGCATCAAGATATAATGGTGGGATTATTTGCCCGCACCGCGGGTCACTAGGCTAATCCTCTGCCTTGCGGCACCGGCACACCGGGTTCTAGTCCCGGTTGGGGCGCCGGATTCTGTCCCGGTTGCCCCTCTTCCAGGCCAGCTCTCTGCTGTGGCCAGGGAGTGCAGTGGAGGATGGCCCAAGTGCTTAGGCCCTGCACCCCATGGGAGACCAGAAGCACCTGGCTCCTGCCTTCAGATCAGCACGGTGCGCCGGCCGCAGTGGCCATTGGAGGGTGAACCAACGGCAAATGAAGACCTTTCTCTGTCTCTCTCTCTCACTGTTCACTCTGCCTGTCAAAAATTTAAAAAAAAAAAAAAAAAAAAATCTAATGGTGGGGCCAGCATTGTGTTATGATGCCAGAATTCTGTACTGGAATTGAGCCCTGGCTAATCTACTTCCAATCCAGCTCCCTGTTAATGTACCTTGGAAGGAAGTGGAAGATGGTCCAAGAGCTTGGGCCCCTGCCACCTGTGTGGGAGACCTGGATGGAGTTCCTGGGTCCCAGCTTTGGCTGGCCCAGACTTGGCTGTTGTGGCCATTTGGGGAATGAAACAGCAGTTGGAAGATCTCTGTCTCTGTAACATTCAAAGAATAAAAAATTTAAAAATTCCTTTGTCAGTCAGGTGAAAATCACACTGTGATTGTGGCCATTTGGGGAGTGAACCAGGAAACAGAAGATCAATCTCTTTCTTTCTGCCTTTCAAATAAGTAAATAAATATTAAAACACAAGCTTCAAAAACCAATCAACAAGCTTAAAAAAAATAGTAGATCCAAAACACTTAAGTATTCCTTTTCATTAATACAGCTCTAGAAAATTAACCTACAAATAAAACTTAGAAAGCAGAATTTGGCAATGAGGCCACTGTGAAGATTTTAGTTAAAAAAAAAAACATAAATAAGAAGCTTTTTACCACTGATAAATTCTGTAAGAGTAGGGATTAATTTTTATTCATATCAGTAACTACTGTCTAGAATACTGGAACTGTCTAGAATGTCTGGAACTGTTAAAGACATAGTTGTAGGCCAGTGCTGTAGCATTGCTGGTGAAGCTGCCATTTGCAGGGCCAGCATCCCATATGGGCACTGGTTTGAGTCCTGGCTGCTCAACTTCCGATCCAGTTCCCTGCTAATGCACTGGGAAAGTAGCAGAGGATGGCCCAAGTGTTTGGGCCCCTGCACCCACATGGGAGACCTGGAAGAAGCTCCTGGCTCCTGGCTTCAGACTGGCCCAGCCAGCAGTTGCAGCCATTTGGGGAGTGAACCGTGGATGGAAGACCTCTCTCTCTGTCTCTCCCTCTCTGTCTGTAACTCTGCCTCTCAAATAAATAAATAAATTTTTTTTTAAAGCAGTTCAGTTTGTTTCACGGGCGGGGGCCTCAAATGTCAGTGCCTATATCCTTTTTCTCCCAGGAGTTGCTTAGTTTTTTCATCCAAAGATCTTCCCACAACCTGTCTGGTGGCTATTACTCTGGCAACTGGTATTCTAGAGCTGAACAAAGGTAAGGAGCTAGGGATCTCATGTATCCAGAATTCAAAAGTGTGCTCAATCTTTGTTTTCTATATGGCATAACCTAGTAAAAAAGTTTACTCCCCTTCCCCTTGTAAAGTCGAATCATTATCAGAATACTAGCCTCCAACTTTAAAGGCCATAGTGTATTAGTATGTCAATCTCGAGAAAAATCTCATTTCTGAAGCCAGTGAGTGCTACAGAAAACTGAATAAAGCAGAAATCTGTAATACGGATACTCAAGGTATGCTACTGCTGACACTTGCAGGTATCATGGTTGGTTCATTCCTTACCATATATCCATTATGAATCAGTCTCCAAAGGAAGATATCCTATTCAACTGAGACACACTCATTTTATTAAGGCTCTTAAATTAAAATCCATGGTTTTGGAGGTATGTTCTTCAAATTCTAAACATAACAGTCAAAATGCAGAGATTGGAATAAAAGGTAATAATCCCCTACAAAGAAACTGTTTTTGGAAATCATGACTCTCTCATTAAAAAGGTTTGTTGTTTTATTTCTTATAAACACATTTTGCTTTTCTAGTTCAACTGTGTTCTCAGGAGCACCCTACAGCCCTTCTTATATCTAACTTGCACTGTAGGTGCAAACTCGTCCTTACCAACTGCCTTTTCAAATGGAACAGAACTCTTAACACACAAATAAAAGGAACATGGACAAAACAGACTATATATCTCATTTTGAACAAGAAAAATGAGACCATGGGTTCAAAACTGGAAAAATCTGCAGAATGCCAATTCTTTGTAGTATTAAACAGTAAACCAAGGCAAACCACAGTTTCTGGAATAAGAAGAAAAAAATTAACAAATATCTGAGTGAATATAACAATATAACTAGACAAAAAATTCTTACACACAATAATCACCGCAAGAAGATCCCACAGGTTATAGAAAACATAAAGGAACTTTAATATCCAAACAGGGTAAAGAATACTGGATTAATAACCCATTAAGTGGGAATTACTTCAAGTTCTTTACAGTACCAGAAAGTAAAATCTGAACGCGTATTGCAGAGAATGAAACTCTGATTCTCTTACCTGATTATTAACACCAGTATGACTTTCAGACTGAAAAATCTTTTAACACTAAGATTTCCACCAGTCAGCAGTGTGAGTTTGTTCAGTAGTAACCTTTTCATCATGACTACTACTACTTTCTTCTCAAAGAGCAGTCAATATACATGTTAAGATTTGTGCAATCTGAAAATACACCGGCTAATAAAAACTGTTACTACTTGAGACAGTCCAAATGAAGAAAAAGCTACACTTTTGTTCTGATTAGTTATTTCAACCCAAATAATTTACCCTGCAGTCCATGAGATGTACAGGAAATAACTGTGTTTTTTTTTCTTTTTAAAGAGAAAAACAGTAAGGGTCCTAAAATGGAAACATGAACTAGAAGCATTTAAAAGACAGCTTCCTGATTTTTCTGAGTATTAATTTCAGCTTCTTTTGGCTGCATGCCCTGATGTGTAGAAGTTAACAAGGAAATACTATCTCCAAGTACGTAAAAAATGTACTCATCTTCCATAAAACAACTGTGTAATGTATCAATACTTAAAAATACACAGTGACTTAATGAAACATCAGCACAACTGCATAGAATTGAGCTCCAGAGAACTACAGACTAGGAGCTGCCTCCCCGGGCTCTGGTTTATAGGTGTTGGCTTAGAGACCAGTGTAGTCAGGTGCTCCCCCCTGCAAGATTCAGGCCCGGAAATGGAAAATTCCACAGGCCTTTTCTCTTCCTAAATCAAATGCTGGGAGCTCTCTGAAAGTCTTCAAAGCCACCAAATATTCAAATATGGACCCCCAGACCCTTCCTCTCTGTGAGTCAAGGAAGGAGGCTTGTGACCTTCACTGAAAACCAAACCAAACCAAATCTCCCACAACTCTTCTAACAAACTCTGAAATGTACTAGAAATTTCAAAACTAGAACAACGCCATCAGAGGTTAAACCTCTTAATGCTTGAAGCAGCCAAAAAAAAAAAAAAAAAAAAAATTAACCCCAGACACAGCACAAAATTAGGAACTCCAGAAAAACAGGTACCAAAATCATCAAAATAATGATTGCACTGAGGATTCTCTTCTTTGAAGGCTGTTTAAGGAGGTAGGATTTTAAGGTTTGTGTTTTGTGTGTGTGTGTGTGTGTGTATGTGTGTTTTAAAATCTTTTGGCCTCTGAACATCTAAAAAAATGCTTTGCCTGGCTGGTCCTCCAGGCTAATTTTAGAGTTCACAGTGAACCCCAAGCCTGACCTCAGGATATTCTAGGGTTTCACAGCTATCATTTGTACATATTAAGTTGATTTACTCTTTTTTAGTAAATCTAACTAGAAAATGGCAAATTAACATATTTCATTTACATAGAATTTTGTGTCTCAAAATTCTTGAAAAACAAGAGCAGATGACTTTGCATTCAAAGACTACCAAAGTATGTATTTGATATTCACATGCAAACAGCTGAAAACCTTATAAATCTCATGTCAGCTCTGCATGATGCCTTTAAGAAGGAAACGACATACAAAGTTTGCTAACTGTGCAAAATATAAACTTGCTAAAACATTTTACATAATAAAATAATACATGTAAATGTTGAAGTTGACACATGAAATTAACATGGCGCGAGAACTTATCACATTTCAGAGATTTTTCTTTAGTAACAAGTTTTTGTTTTTATAGTTCCGGGTACACAGCAAAGTTTATCACAGAAGATAAAAATCCTTTTAAACAAATCCAACAGGGAATTCTTGAGGCACCTTCTCATATAAAACACAAGATGAATGCAACTGTCAATCCATCTGAGAAAAGTATTCAATCGAAGTGAACATCATTTTTTTCTGTCTCAGTATATTTTACAGAACTTTAATAAGGCAAGACAAATTTGTGAAAAAAATGTAAATACAAAAATGATGTAAACTAATAATTTATATTTAAAAACCCCAAGGAGATAACAGTGGAAACGGGATAGCTCAAACAATACTTTTTTTTTTAACCTAAAACAGAATTGTGCACAAGCTGAAGATTACAAAGAACTTCTAGACTTTGCACAGTTTTGGTTTTTCTTTCTTTCTTTTTTTTTTACATCTTTATATTACATGTTTTAAATCATATCAGGAATGCAAACTAGAACTGCACACTACTTTAGCGGAGAAAAGTTCAACATTGTGCAATTTTCTGCCTCTTAATTTTTCAAAAGTGGCAGCAATCCCTGCAATTGTATTTGAAACAAGGATCTGAGAAACTTTATCAAAAAAGGTCATGAAGGCAAAAATTGGCAGACATCCAGCATCTTGTTTCTTTTTTAAAACAATGTGGATGATAAGTAATTTCATGATTAAAAAATGAATCTTTTAAATAAATACACTGTATCTGACATTTGCACTGACTGATTTGATAAATCTTTAAGTAAACAACGGCTTTACTACGCTCCCTGTAGCCTCAAGCCACTGGCTTTAGCTTCTGGAGTCCGTTTTCACTGGGTTTCATACCCGGCCACTCGGTAGCCCGCAGGCTGGCTGGGTAACATGCTGCCGTTCTGGCCAGGAGGCGGCTGCACGCCGTAGTTTGGTCCCATCCACGGTGCGGAAGACTGCGTCTGGCTGGGGGAGAATGTGAAGGAAAGAAGCAGAGGGGAAGGGCAATGCACTGATTAAAACCATGTAATGCAATAACAAATGCACTGGGAAAGGGGACACATACTTTAAAAAAAAATACCAACGTAACAGTAATGCCATATTACACAAACCAAGGGTAAAAGTGGAAGTTTCTCCTTGTAAAAGCAAGTATCCTCATAGTCTAGTGTAGGCAGTTTGATTTTGTTAGAAATTACAGCTAAAAAAAATATACCCTTGGGGCCAGCGCTGTGGTGGAGCTGGTAAAGTCACCACCTGTGATGCCAGCACCCACTATGGGTGGCTCAAGACCTGCCTGCTCCACTTCTGATTCAGCTCACTGCTAAATGCATCTAGGAAAGCAGTGGAAGATGGCCCAAGTACTTGCGCCTCTACACCAGAGTGGGAAACCTGGAAGAATCTCCTGGCTCCTGGCTTCAGAATGGCCCAGTTCCGGCCATTGCAGCCATTTGGAGAGTGAACCAGCCGATGGAATCTCTTCCTCTCTCTCCGTACTCTGCCTTTCAAATAAATCAATCTTAAAACTAAAACTAAAATTTAAAAAAAAAAAAAAATCCAAAGCCTTAAAAAAAAAGATACTCTTAACATATATTTACTCTGGGGCCGGCGCTGTGGTGTAGCAGGTAAAGCCACTGCCTGCAGTGCTGGCATCCCATATGGGCACTGCTTCGAGTACTGGCTGCTCCACTTCTGATCCAGCTCTCTGCTATGGCCTGGGAAAGCAGTAGAAGATGGCCCAGGTCCTTGAACCCCTGCAGCTGTGTGGGAGACCCAGAAGAAGCTCCTGGCTCCTGGCTTCAGGTTGGTGCAGCTCCAGCCGTTGTGGCCAACTGGGGAGTGAACCAACAGATGGAAGACCTCTCTCTCTGCCTTTCCTTCTCTGTGTAACTCTGATTTTCAAATAAATAAATAAATCTTTAAAAAATAAATTATAACAACAACAACAACAAAAACCACACATATATTTATTCCCTTTGAATTCAGAAACACCTATCTCTCATCTCTACCTGGGTTGTATGTACATTCACCCAGCTACTACCCGAAAGAAATTTGATCATCTGGCACAGAGCTAACTTTTATTTTACTCAAAGAAATTAGTATACGTAAGCTCATATATTTTCTCAACATTACAAACACAAGATTGTTTTTAAAACTGAAAAGTATTTTTATTTTCAGTTTCCTCCATCAGAAATTTAAACAAACAAAAAAAAAAAGAGGCATAAAATCTAAAAAAAAAAAAAAAAAAAAAGAGCTGGCACTGTGGCACAGCGAGTAAAGCTGCCACCAATGATACCAGCATCAAATATGGGCACTGGTTCAAGTTCTGGCTGCTCCACTTCTGATCCAGCTCCCTGCTAATGTACCTAGGAAAGCAGTAGAAGATGGCCCAAGTGCTTGTGGGGGCCTGGAAGAAGCTCTTGGCTCCTGGCTTTGGCCTGGCCCAGCTTGGGCCACTGGGGTCATTTGGGGAATGAACCAGAGGATGGAAGATCTCCCTCTGTAACTCTTTCAAATAAAATAAATTAACAATGAGGTTCGGCACAGTGGTGTAGTGGGTAAAGCTACTGCCTGCAGTGCCGGCATCCCATACTGGCGCTTGTTTGAGTCCCAGCTGCTCCACTTCTGATCCAGCTCTCTGTTGTGGCCTGGGAAAGCAGTAGAAGAGGGCCTAACTGCTTGGGACCCTGCACCCATGTGGGAGACCTGGAGGAAGCTCCTGGTTCCTGGCTTTGAATGGGCCCAGCTCTGGCTACTGAGTCCATTTAGGGAGTAGACCAGCAGATGGAAGATATCTCTCTCTCTCTTTCTCTGCTTCTACCTCTGTAACTCCGCCTTTCAAACAGACAAATATTTTTTAAGAAATCAGAAATGGTATAATGCCAGGAATATAAGGAATCTTGATATGTTAATAACATACAAATAAATCCTTCTGCAAGGAAAAAATGAAGCATAATAAAACTAGCATTAATAGAAGCACCTAAGCATGGCTAAGTCACCATTAGTCACACAAAAAGCTTAACAATTACTAAACTGCTTTTCTTATAAAAAATTAGCTTATCCATTATCTAAATTTATGACTGGTCAATTCAAGACAACATATTTCTAGGCAAATTTTTAGAGAAATATTTAAAACTATAAAATTTCCTTTGACGTCTTCAAAGGTTAGTAAAAGAAAAGATCAAACGTGCTTACTTAAACCCCTGCTGGTTCCAGGCCTGGCCGTACATTCCATATGCAGGTACTTGCCAGCCGTTAGGCATGTACTGGCCAATCTGTTGTGCATTTCCATACCACTGGCCCCACTGGCCATAAGCTTGTGGATATCCAATTTGATTCTGCTATTAAGTAAAATTACAATAGATCATTTAGTATTAATTTAAGTTATCTGTATTTACAATCAGTCCTAATACATCACTAATACTTAGCCAAAACACATAGGGCACAATTATAATTAAAATGACAGGATAAACAGGAGTTTAGCAAGTGACTGTGGAAAAAAAGAAAGTGAGGTAATACTTCTACTAACGCTATGGTGATGCTCTGAATGGCACAGTCTTTGTAAAGTAGCAGGTAATGCCCTAGTAAGATATTAAACTTAGTATAATGTTTAAGTGTCTGGTATACTACTTATGAAGATTACTGAGTCCTATATTCATGTTAAATTAAACCTGTAAATTAGGATTTTCTTACTCCCATCTCTGTGTTCTATTTACAAATCCTTAATAAAAACTTTTTGGGACCAAGTTGGAACCACCACAGCTGCCTGGAAAACAAAAGGCAGCTACATCTGGAAGAAAATGCCAGGACCCTCTATATGTATTCATATCTTCATTTTTGTTTCAGTTGAGTCAAACATTCTTCTGAGTTCTCCAAATAGTACATGAATAAATCTACCAAGTATCAAAAAAAAAAAAAAAAAAAAAAGATGTAATAATCCACTAGGTTTGTCGGAGCCTTTTTAAATTCATTGTGTGAGCATGAATCAGCTGAGGCAGTCACACTCCTCACATCACCACTGTAGTCCATGAACACCACTCCGGAGCTACCGTGCATGGAGGCAGAGCCCTCACATGCTCTCACTTCAACTAGAAATGTAAATAAGGATTATCAATAAACCTCATGTAAAAATCACCTCGCTATCACCCCTGCGACACCTCCCAGAGCTGAAGGCCCTCACCTGTTGCACAGGATTGATCATGTCAAGAGTTTCTTTGCCCCAGTAGCATTTCACGACATGGCCTTCAATGGTGGTTCCATTAACAGAAACAATTGCATGTGCCGCACTTTCATGGGAGTTGAACCTGTTGAAAACAGTATTAAGAGTATTTATGAAAATAAAATGTTATTTTTAAAAATCAAGGTGAGCCTGAAGGAAAACACGCAGTTTGCATATAATCAATAAAAATGTCAGATTTCCTTTGCTATTTTTTCCAAAGATCTTGCAGTTCTAGAGAAACTTGTTTTAACGGAGGGTGCCTTTCACTGGTCTTATGTTCAAAGGAGGGAGTAATGCAGAAAAAAAAAAGGAGGTGGGGGCAGGGCCCACCACCGTGGCGTAGTGCAGAAAGCTGCCGCCTGCCGCGCCGGCATCCCATATGGGTGCCGGTTCAGGTCCCGGCTGCTCCATTTCCGATCCAGCTCTCTGCTATGGCCTGGGAAAGCAGTGGAAGATGGCCTAAGTCCTTGAGCCCCTGCACCCGCGTGGGAGACCGGAAAGAAGCTCCAGGCTCTTGGCTTTGGATAAGTGAAGCTCCACCCATTGTAGCCATTTGGGGAGTGGATCAGTGAATGGAAGACCTCTCTCTCTGTCTCTGTAACTCTGCCTTTCAAATAAATAAATAAATCTTTAAAAAAAAAGAAAGAAAGAAAGAATGAAAAGAAAAGAAAGAAAACCATGAAGCTAAAAATTCCAAAGTTATTTAGAGGCAAAATGTTTTAGAAACAAAAAAAACCACCCCTACCGAACAAATGAATATCCTTTATCTGGAAAGACTCGAATTTCCATTATTTGTCCAAATGGTGAAAAAGTTTGACGCATTAGTTGTTCTGTTGGACAAAAAAACAAAAACAAGAAACCACATTACATAAAGTACTACAAATATTAAATTTCTCCATTTATAAATAATTTCAAGATGCCACACAGGAAAAGCTCCCATACCTGTTAGCCCCGAAGTAACACCTCCGCAGTACACAGTACAATTGCTTGGACTAGACTGGTTTACAACCTCATCATATGATAACTGTTTGGTGTTTGCTAAGGAAAGAAAAAGTTTTCTATTTTTAATACATGAAATAAAATGTCCAGAAAAAGAAAAGCAGCATTGACTATACCACTGTAAATGGTAACATTTACCTTGACCAAAATGTTTAAATAATACATACTACATTTGAGTTCAGGATAAAACCTCCCCCAAGAATGTCTAAAACATCACCCAGTACTCTCTACTTAACAGGAGACTTGACATTAGAAATAATATAACTTATTATTTATAATTACAAAAATGAAAACTAAGTACATTTTTGAACAGTAGTCTTGATTTGCTTCTCATCTATTTCTGCAATAAGTCTCCGGGAACAGCTCTAACATTTAAAATCTAGTGTATTTTTCTCCAAAATTCCACATTTCCTTTTCTTCTCCAATACACCTACACTCATATGTACTCTTTGGAGCTGGAGGCTTTCGGGTTGCCCAGTTAGTTCTGATTTGTCTTCCACCAAGCCACTGGCCACCCATCTGCTGAATGGCGTTTTCAGCATCCTGTTCCGCACATGAGAAAGGACAAAGAAGCCACCATTAGTTGATGTTAGGACAACTGTTAGCAGTAGCAACAAGCTGGCACTTTACGTAAGATTTTTAAATAAAATGCTGTATGAAATAGACAACAGAAGATAGCCTTCCTAAAATGTAATGATGCTACGTATCTTTCCTTTTCAAAAATCATTTTTATTCATTTATTTTCATTTCATTTGAAGAAACAAGAGACAGATGGGGAGAACCTTCCACCCGCTGCTACACTCCTTTCAAATGCCCGCCACAGCCAGGGCCCTGACAGGCTACAACCTGAAGCCTAGACCTCAGTCTGGGTCTCCCATGTGGGTGGCAGGGACCCAGACATTTGAGCCATCACTGCTGCCTCCCAGGATGCGCATCAGCAGGGAAGTGCATCAGAAGCTGAGAAGCTGGGACTTGAACCAGCCACTTGATATGGGATGTGGGAATCTCAAGCAGTGACTTGAGAGCTGCACGAAAACATCTTTATTTTATTTGGATATCAGACACTGGGAATGTCAATCATCTGAGAGTCCTGAGCCCAAAATTCCTGATGAGGTAGCTTTCATAAAGTTCATACAACAGGGCCGGTGCTGTGGTACAGTGGGCTAAGCCTATGTCTGCGGCGCTGGAATCCTATACGGGCACTGGTACGTGTCCCGGCTGCTCCTCTTCTGATCCAGCTCTCTGCTATGGCCTGGGAAAGCAATGGAGGATACCCCTAGTGCTTGGACCCCCTGCACATGCAAGGGAGACCTGGAAGAATCTCCTGGCTCCTGGTTTCAGATCAGCTCAGCTCCAGCCATTGCAGCCATATAGGGAGTGAGCCAGAGGATGGAAGACCTTTCTCTCTGTCTCTCCCTCTCTCTGTAACTCTAACTCTCAAATAAATTTGAAAAATCTTTAAAAAAAAAAAAAAAGTTGGGGCTGGTGCTGTGGTGTAGCAGGTAAAGCCGCCACCTAAAGTGCCGGCATCCCATATGGGCACTGGTTCAAGTCCTTGGGCCCCTAACCCACATGGGAGACCCGTAAGAGGCTCCTGGCTCCTGGCTTCGGATCAGCGCAGCTCCGGCCATTGCAGCCAATTTTTTTTTTTTTTTTTTGACAGGCAGAGTTAGACAGTGAGAGAGAACTGGGGTCTCAGGCTGAGAGGAGGGCACAGCAAACAAAATGGGACCCATCAAAGATAAAACTCTTGGGTTCCTGCTTGGGAAAATTGGAAGGACAGTGTACTAGCAATTACTGAAATGGAGAGAAAGATTAGGAGAAAAGAGGGCAACAGGTTTGAGGAATAAGGAAAAAACTCTATTTAAGAGATGTTAAATTTGAGATATGTGTGAGACATTTAATGAAGATCATTTGACTCTAATTCCTAATAAATATGCACTCAATAGTGATTTTTATATAGCAGAAGCCTATACTCCATAATTTTAAAAAAATATTTATTTATTTTGAAAGGTTACAGTTACAGACAGTGAGGGAGAGAAAGAGATAGAGATCTTCCATTCACTGGTTCACTCTCCAGATGGCCACAACAGCCAAGATTGGGCCAGGTTGAAGCCAGAAGCCAGGAGCTTCTTCTGGGTCTCCCACACAGATGGTAGGAGGCCAAGGATTTGGGCCATCTTCCTTTGCTTTCTTGGCCCCATCATTAGGGAGCAGGATTGATAGTGGAGCAACCAAGACTCAAACTGGTGTCCACATGGGACGCCAGCATTGCAGGCGGTGTCCTCACCTGCCACACCACAACACCAGCACCTATTCCATAATCTTAAATGGAAAAGAGGGTTCATAGTCCACTCACAACCACCAACCTACTATGTAAACAGCACTAAAAACATTCTGAAAACCTATGAATCAATCCTCTAAGGAACTCATACTAATTGAGGTTATAAACCCATTGTACAGGGTATTTTTCTCCTTTCCCAAATATTACACTACGTTTAACAGTAGAGCAGATCCAACCACACTATCATAATTTTTATTTTCATATCTCAGAAAAGAAGAATCTCCTAACTGGTAGATGGTACATGTACCATCTTGTGATCCTTTAATTGCTTCCAACTTCCTTCTAATATGTGGGTTTCCCCAATTTCTTTTTATTTTTTTTAAAGATTTATTTATTTGAAAGAATTACAGAGAGGTAGAGAGAGAGGTAGAGGTAGAGGTAGAGGTAGAGGTAGAGGTAGAGAGAGGGTCTTCCATCCGCTGGTTCACTCCCCAAATGGCTACAACGGCAGGAGCTGTGCCAACCCAAAGCCAGGAGCCAGGAGCTTCTTCCAGGTCTCCCATGTGGGTATAAGAGCCCAAGACCTGGGCCATCATCTACTGCTTTCCCAGGCCATAGCAGAGATCGGAAGAGGAGCAGCTGGGGATTAGAACCGGTGCCCACAGGAGATGCCGGCACTTTAGGCCGGGGCTTTAACCCGCTGTGCCACAGCGCCAGTCCCTCCCCAATTTCTTAGGCTTCTTTCTTCAGAGGGTTTTCTACTTTCTTTGAGGTTTTCACTTCATGTAGAGAATCTAAGACTACACTGCATAACTTATTTAAATGAGCTGATCATAAGCTATATTACTATGAGAACAGCTAACATACAGCTATGTACTTACATTCTCTTGCCTAGATCTGTGAAGTATGAAAATAAGTATGAAAACATTTTAGAGCAAATTACTGATGTGGACAGAAAATTTTGGGCAAATAATTACAAGCAATTTCAACAAATATCTGGGTAGTCAAAGTTCAGTTAGGAATAATCAGATATTACTACAGTGCAAGTAGACACAGCAACTAGAAAAATCATGGCAGTTTGACACTATTTGGCATAGCGGGAAACAGAGGTATTAACAGAAAAAGAATCCAGAAGGAACCACTATAGCATAGTATATCATTATAAATGATGTTCATAAATTTGACCTGGAGTAATTTACTTCAAATATTCCATTTACTAAAGATAAGATTTTCAAAATATATTTCACACTATTAAAAAACTTTTGGCCGGCGCCGTGGCTCAATAGGCTAATCCTCCACCTTGCGGCGCCGGCACACCGGGTTCTAGTCCCGGTCGGGGCGCCGGATTCTGTCCCGGTTGCCCCTCTTCCAGGCCAGCTCTCTGCTATGGCCAGGGAGTGCAGTGGAGGATGGCCCAGGTGCTTGGGCCCTGCACCCCATGGGAGACCAGGAGAAGCACCTGGATCCTGGCTCCTGCCATCGGATCAGCGCGGTGCACCGGCTGCAGCGGCGGCCATTGGAGGGTGAACCAACGGCAAAGGAAGACCTTTCTCTCTCTGTCTCTCTCTCTCACTGTCCACTCTGCCTGTCAAAAATAAAAAAAAAACAAACAACTTTTAAAGGTTTGTTCTAAAGGAGTCTAACATATAAGGTAGTGTTTCTGTTCTTATCATTGGCAGCCAATAGTTGTAATATAAAGGTAAAACAATGAAACCAAGGCTGGCACTGTGGTGTAGCAGGTAAAGCCACCACCTGCAGTGCCAGCATCCCATATGGGCACTGGTTTGAGTCCTGGCTGCTCTACATCCGATCCAGCTCTCTGTTATAGCCTGGGAAAGCAGTAGAAGATGGCCCAAGTCCTTGGGCCCCTGTACCCACGTGGGAGACCTGGAAGAAGCTCCTGGCTCCTGGCTTTGGATCAGTGCAGCTCTAGCCATTGCGGCCATTTGGGGAATGAAACAGTGGATGGAAGACCTCTCTCTCTCTCTCTGCCTCTCTGTAACTCTGCCTTTCAAATAAATAAATTAATATAAAAAAAAAAAAAAAACACAATAAAACCCAAGGTTAATGAGGCTCTGAGGCATATTCCAAGACCAATCATATAAATTCTCCCACCAAGCATGCCTATCTATGTGTTTGAACGTGTGGTTCTGCTATATTTAACTATTTTGAACATTCAGTTAGCATACTAAAAATGTTCCAAGTTCTTTATTATTTGAAGTGGCAATACATTTACAAGGTTCAAACACCAAAAAGTACAATACAGGGGCAGGCAATGTGGCCTGGTGGGTTAAGCTGCTGCTTCAAACACCTGCATCCCATATGGGAGTGCTTGGGTTTGAGTCCAGCCCACGCTTCAGGTCCAGATTCCTGTTAATGCACAGGAGGGGAGTGAGCAGGTGATAGCCAAGAATTTGGGTCCCTGCTACCCACTTGGGAGATCCAGATGGAGCTCCTGGCTCTGTATTTGGCCTAGCCTAGCCTTGGTTGTTGAGGGCATTTGGAGAGCAAACCAATGGATGCAAGGTCTCTCACTCTCTTTGTTGCTCTTAGATTTAAATAAAAATAAACATTTTCAAAAAGTTTAATATACTGAGAAGCTTCTTAGCCTATCCTCTATCTGTTTAGTTCTCATCACCTACCACCAAACAGGAAATTCTATCACAGGTTTATTGTTTATCCCTTCAGGGAAATCACACATACACCCCTCTCACTAAATCGGTCTCTTTTCCTTTTGAAACAAAGTAACTTTTTATCTAACAATACTTGGTAGAAACCTTTCCATAATTAGTACTGCACTATTCTTTCTTTTTTCTATGAGAACCAGAAATTTCAAGCCCATGCAAACTGGTTTTCATGAGGGTTCACAAATGAGAGGAGAAAATGAGAAATTAAAAACATGCAGAAGTTCCCATCTATTGGAGCATTTATTACCTACTTTTAAATTAACATGGAAATACAAATGGAGATAATGAATTATATCCACACATGAGATTTTCAACATCTACCTTTGGCTGGCTGACAATTTCAGCATTTCTATTAAGACAGTGTGAAAATCAGTACCGGTATATATATCAGGTGCTAATAAGCAAATATTGAATAAATAACCAAATAAGAACCCTCTAAGAAGCATGCTAATTTTCAGAGAAATGAACAAACAGCAGATGAAAGGAAGATGAATAATTAGGCCAACTGTTTCCACTCTGTCCTCTTCAAGCACTGCACAGGCACTTTTGACAGAGCTCACCCATTTGTTGAAAAAGGAGACAAAGCCATATCCCTTCGATTTTCCTGTAGCCATGTCCTTTACCACTCGGGCGTCCCTGAAAACAGAAACCATGAGAAGTAGATTTAGGCTTGTAAACAGTCCTCTGGATATAAAACAATTTCATACAACTCATTTTCATGATCTTTCACCTTCATTAAAGTGAACCTTTAATGAAACTCCATCATTTATTCTATAAAACTTATCATTTATTAGCAAATGAGGCTTAATTTTATAAACATGCAAATCTCAGTAACTTTTAAAATATATATACATATATATATACACACATACATATATATATGCTGTACAGAAAGGGCCTCCTACTTTGAAAGGGTTTTTAAACTTTTAAATATGAAGCATGGTGAAAGCAGCTATTCACATGAATTACTTATCACTGGTAAGGTTCATAGTCACATTAAATGAATGGCTTTCTTTAACCATGCAATTTATAATTTGCTGTTGGATATCATGAGTATTCCACCTAACCATTAAAAATTTAAAATAGAAAACTGAAAACTAAAAGATTTAAAAAGGTATATATTCCCTGAAGTAATTATTTCATTTTCTCAGATCAATTTTATACCCCCTTTCTGGACTAGGGTAAATTTTGAGAACTTGACATTTTCAGAACTGTTAAATCATTGAAGAAAAATTCCAAGACACACACTTTAGTTTTAAACTATACAAGAAAAGATTTTATACTGAATTTCTTAATAGCATTCATTTATATAAGATTGATTGAAAACTACAAGATATAAAAGCAAAATTTTAAAAAGTCAGAAAGTAAAAAAGCACGCCAACATTTATCCACTGTGAACCGTAGCTTGTAGTTAGCCAGGGCAATTCTGTCCATTCTTCAGAGACACTCTGCAAAATAACCAGAGCCCTATTATTTGAGATTGAGTAAAAACCCAGCCATGACAGCTAAAACTCCATACCTCAAAAAATTGGACTCAAATTTTGCTTCCTAGGCAATCTGCTTTTAAGTTAGCCAGGTATGTCACAATGCTTGTTCTCTCAGGACACATGAACAAAACAGGCACTTGTACAATAAAAGTCAAAAAGCCATGCAATGTAATTTTATATTAATTAGGGTACACAAGCATAGTTTAGGTCAATTTAGGAATTATTTACTAAGTGTTTAGGGTCAAAATGACAAAGAGGTGGTGGTGAAAAGGGAAAACTAACGTAAGTCACTTCTCTATATATAAAAACACTTGAGTTATCTGTATGGTACATGCATTTATTTTTGTAACTGATATATGCCTACAATTATTTGCTAGACTATTCTAAACTCAAGAAACAGGAAGGATTTAAACTGTGTGAATTAGGGAAAGCATATTTTTAAATATTTTAATAGAATGCCACTTATTATACACCTTCTGTAAATCAAGCACTGTTTAAGGTACTCTCTAGAAAGTATCTGAGAATCATGACAATCCTTCAACAGATAGTTATCAACACAGCACCTTTAACAACAACAGCAAAGATATGCTACTAATTGCCAAGTGGTTCCTTTAAATGTCAGAAAGCTAACTCTTTGCATAGCCTAAAGCTCAAACATATGAGGACTCTTCCAAAAGTTAATGGAAAACGTCTATTACAAAAAAAAAAATCATAAAAGAACTTCAAAACCATTTGCAGCAAAACAACCCTTATCTTTTAATTCTATTTTTCCTTAAACTTTTCCAAGTACCCTCATATATTATCTTAACTGAAAATTCTAAAACTGAAAAAAGGTCCTATGAAGAAAAACACTGCGAATGTCAACAGCCATGGGACAATCAGAAAATCTGCAGACTAAAAACAGGACACCAATATATTTTGCAAAGTGGTTACTAATCCACAATTAAAAAGTCATGAAACTCCTAAAATTTGGAGGTCAATTATTAAATGACCTTTGGCTAATCCCAAACTAAAGGTACCATGTTCTCAAAAAGTTACTTCAAATCAAAGTATTTAGTAAACTTTTTAGCTAACAATCTGTACACACTGCTGATTTTTTCTTCTTAAAGTTTCAGGAAATATCAGCCTTGAAATACATTCAACTCTTACTAGTTCTCTCTGAAAAAGCTATAGCAAAGATATAAATCAGGGTTCTCAATCCTCTTATGGTCCTGTGACCACACTGAGAATGGGATGAAATTTATGATTCTCTGCACCAAATGAAAACACAAAATTCTGAAAAGAGATTTACAGAGACTTTGAGAGGCCAAAAACTAATACCCTCTATGTCTAGGTATCTTCTTAGAAGCAAGTTCACCAGTATTACAATTCTAAGACAGAGTAAGAGAAATTAAAACCTCACTTATTGTCCTCATCAGCTCTCACAACAAAAATGTCGTCTACCAGAAGAGTCCATTTATAAGCCCTAATTTTGCGAATGCCTTCAAAGTTGGCCATTCCTTGTTCACAATGCATTGTCATTCTCTTACCAAGGAACTACAACTCTTCAAGATTCATCACCAATGCCACTGGCATTCTTTCCAGTATCCTCACCTTCTCATCTCTGCTGCTTGTTCAAACCAAGCTAACCATTTTCTTTTTACTACTCTTCTAGCTGAAACAATAACAAAGCAACAAGAAACCCTAAAAAATTATTTTCTAAATTCAACATTTATTCCTACGACTTTTGAGCAACTTTTTATTCTTATTCCAATATGGTATGCCTTCCAAAATAGTAAAGTTCTTTTATGATGAATGCTATCTTGAGGGAGACAGTTATAATGGGCCTAGAATGTATGATTAATAACAAATGCAAGCAAGACAGTGCTCCACAAAAAATACTATAAGGCACTAGTATTATTGTTAACAGTTAAAAAAGGGCGTGGGGGTGGAATACCTAAGGAATAACATGGAACTGCGTTTTAAAAGGTTGAATTGTTAAGGTCTCTTTTTGTTAAATTATCTAGACACAAAATGCATGGTATCACAGAAGTGCCCAAATGGTCTAAATTCCTTAGTCCCAGCACAAGTTTACCAAAGATCATCACCAAGCTAGCAAAACATTTATGTAAGAAACTATAATACGTACAATGGCAAATTTGTCTCTTAAAAGCTAATGCTAATTGAAAAAGTACCAAAAATGCCTAAGTGGAAAGATTTCTCCACCAATAGGAAAACAATCTTTGGCTCTTAACTTCCTGAATGATCTCTAAACAATGTAATGTATTATATTCAAGTGTTAAAATCAATGCCCAAAATTAACAATAAAATTATTTTCAAATTACAAAGGACTATTTTAATTAAAAACATTTTATCTTTTGTTACTTACGATATTCTTCCAAATGGGGCAAAAGCAGCTTTTATATCTTCAGTTGTAATTTCTGGACTGAGATCACCAACAAAGACATGGAAATGATCTTATAAGGGGAAGGAAGGGGAAGTGAAAAGAAAAACAAAACTTTAGAATTTAAATATTAAAATAATTCATGGTTTATAAAAAAGTATAAATAAAACACTAGTCTATATCTATACAAGTCCTGTCCATAAAATTTTAAACACAATGAATCAGTAACAACATGGGAAAGAGCCTCCTAAAAAGATTGATATCTCTAGCTGGAAATTGACATTTATATTGCATTAATAGTCAATTATTATACTGGCCTAAGAACTAATAATAAACAAGTTTCAGTTCTGCAAAAAAAAGTATAATGACTTAGTTAGCATTGTAACAGTAGTTTACTTTTATTCAGTTTACCACTATACTAAGACTTCACAAATTAAAATAAAATAGTGGTACTGTGAGTTATGTAGACTAGATTTGCCTCAGTTAAGACAACTGACTGAAGCTAGCTACATGATACACTTGGTTTAACCATATTTTGTGAAGAACAATCAAAGAAATACCTTGCATTGCAACAGTTTGATGTTAAAGTATTTGATAGTTTTCTCAAAAGCCAACAGTTTTGGTTGCCCAGACATTACACCATTCAGTTTATGTGAATCCATGTGCAAGTGAACTAAGACTGAAGGCAACAGAATGAAAACAGTAATCCCTTCACTTTATATCAGAACCATCAAAAAGCATTGGAGAGAAATAACCAACCCATATTTGAAGTTTTTTTAAAAAGAGAGACAGTTCTCATAAAAGAAACACTTTAAAAATGCAAAATCCTTGGACCAACACTTTAAAATGGACACACATATATCACTTTTGACAAGGCATATTTGGAAAGAAGTTACCCCTTTCTGGCAGGCCTTAAGCAACATATTGCGCTGCTCCTTGGGAAACAGTTTCAGGAGCAACTCAAGCACTTGGAAGATCTGGATAGGAAGTCCAGATGGAGACCTCAAGGAAGCAGGGTATCTTGCCCTTTAGATGGTGAAAGTATTTCTAAGGCATCAGCTGCTACCAAGGGCACAGAGCTTGAACTAGTACCAAGGTAGTGGACAAGCCACACTTGGTCAACACTGGGAAGAAGGGGGGAAAATACTGCCAGAGACAAATAGAAATATTACCACCACCCTCTTCCCTCCCCCAACATCAAACAAAAACACTTCAGATGGTTAGTGAATACCCTTTCAAGATATTTCATTTTATGTTTAAGAAGATACAATTACCTTGTGAACGCTGTGTGCTGACAACGGTACTACCTGATGACAAAGATTAGATTTGTTCTTAAATTTATTAACACAAACACATTAAATCATATCTTAGGATAACGATCAAAACATTATTGCGAATATGTATGATGTTTATATGCTTTATAGTAAAACTAATGAGTATAATAAAAACAAACGTTTGAAGTTTACAGGATGTACTTACTGCTTGTATCCTTCTTTTGACTGCTGGGGGTTGTTGCCCAATTCACTTTGACTTCCTAAAAAAATTTTTCTACATTTATACTTCGTGAAAAAAAAGTTCAAAATCAGAGTTGCATTTATGAACACACAGGGAAGTGCTATGTTTGAGATGAAACACTCAAGGGACTGCACTGTAAAGTCTCCTACACTTAAATGCTGACAAATCCTAATTTTTATACATTTCTGTTAGCATTTAATTAATCTTTCCCATCTAAAGTACAAGTGAAATTGTTCTCTTTTACTTTTCCTCATTAGCATCCAATGTTCCTAGACATTTCATCCAAGTTTCAGTAATTCAACAAATATTTTAGTATCTACCATGTACAAGGCACCATGGAGAATACTAACACAAACATGGACCTCTGTCCTCTGAATCCCTTTTCCCCCCTTCTATTTTTTTTTTTTATCTTTTATTTAATGAATATAAATTTCCAAAGTACGACTCATGGGTTTCCCCCCTTCTAAATATGAAATGTGATGAATGGACCTTCTGCTATGAAGTGAATTTAATGCTTCCAAAAGGAAACGGGACCATAAGTAGCTTAAATCTCCCAGTGCAAGTCACCTACTTTAATCATGACAGCTTACCTTACCCATTATCTTCCGCCCATTCATAGCAGCTAGTGCAGCAGCTGCGTGCCGATGCTCATGGAACTCCACAAAACAATAGGGATCGTTCCCAGCTGTCTGTTGGAGAAGAACCACAAAAGCCAGCGTGAAGCTTTATTCTCCCACTACCTTAAAATTAGGCAGACTTGTAAAGCTAAGTTTTATATAACTCAATTACCAGGTTATGGAGAAGGAAGGGACCATTCCATAGGTAAATTTTAAGAGAAAACAGTAAACACTTAAAAACAAACATTTTATGGAAAGCTATCTTTTTGACATGCTATTATGATATTTGTATAATTAAATTTTAAACCAAGAATTTTTTTCAAAGAGATTTTATTTATGGAGCTGGTGCTATGGGTGGTGGGTTAAGCTGCCACCTGCCGTGCTTCCATCCCATGTGGGCATTGCTTCAAGTTGCGGCTGCTCCACTTCTGATCCAGCTCCCTGTTAATGCACCTGGAAATGCAACAGAGGATGGCCCAAGTGCTTGGGCCTCTGCACCCCTGTGAGAGACCCAGAAGAAGCTTCTGGCTCCTGGCTCCTCGCTTCAGACTGGCCAGCCCCGGCTGTTGCAGCCATCCAAGGACTGAACCCGCAGATGGAAGATTCTCTCTCTCTCTCTCTCTCTCTCTCTCTCATTATTACTCTGCCTTTCAAATAAATAAAAATAAATCTTAAAAATATGTATTTATTTATCTGTAAGTCAGAATTACAGAGAGAGAGATCTTCCATCTGCTGGTTCACTCCCTGGATGGCTGCAACAACCAGGGCTGGGCCAGGCTGAAGCCAGGAGCCAGGAGCTTTTTCCAGGTCTCCCACATGGGTAGCACGGGTCCAAGAACTTGGGTCATCTTCTGCTGCTTTCCCAGGTCATTAGCAAGGAGCTGGATCAGAAATGAAGCAGACAGAACACAAACCAGCACCCACATGGGATGCCTGCATTGCAGGCAGTGGCTCTACCCACTAAGTCCCAATATCAGCCCCAAATTAAAAATTTTTAGTGTCCTAAGTGAGGCCGGTGCTGCGGCTCACTAGGCTAATCCAATGGCCTTGCAGCGCAGGCACACCGGGTTCTAGTTCCGGTCAGGGTGCCAGGTTCTGTCCCAGTTGCCCCTCTTCCAGGCCAGCTCTCTGCTGTGGCCCGGGAGTGCAGTGGAGGATGGCCCAAGTGCTTGGCCCCTGCACCCCATGGGAGACCAGGACGGGTACCTGGCTCCTGCCATAGGATCAGTGCGGTGCGCCGGCCGCGGCCGCAGTGGCCATTGGAGGGTGAACCAACGGCAAAGGAAGACCTTTCTCTCTGTCTCTCTCACTGTCCACTCTGCCTGTCAAAAAATGAATAAATAAATAATAATAAAAAAATAAAGTGTCCTAAGTGGTTATATAGCTATAAATACTGAATTTGTAGTTTCTTCCTCTATTAAGTGTAACTATTGAATTTGTAGTTTCTCACTTTGTAAGTATAACCATTTCTTTCAGCTACAGAAGTTTGACTAGACATTTCTAGTTTTTCTTTGGTTTCTATCATTTTTCTATCCCTTTTCTGTTATATGTTACTTTTCTGCTTTCATGTTCTTTAAAGATTTATTTACTTATTTATTTGAGACAGAGAGGGGGAGAGAGAGAAATCTTCCATCTGCTGGTTCACTCCCTAATGTCTACAATGGTTGGAGCTGAGCCAATCTGCTGCAGCCAAGAGCCAGGAGCCAGGAGCTTCTTCTGGGTCTCCCAAGCAGGTGCAGGGCCCAAGCACTTGGGCCATCTTCCACTGCATTCCCAAGCCGTAAGCAAGGAGGTGAAATGGAAGAGGAGCAGCCAGGACACTAACCAGACCTGCAGCCCAGATGGAGGCTTAACCTACTATGCCACAGCGCCAGCACCCTATGTTACTTTTTATTGCTACAAATATCCATGTCTTTGCTGCTTCTGACATGCTGGGTAGAAGACCTTAGCTTATCTTCTTAAATCTGTTTCAGAAATATGAGTAAATAGGTCTTGAAAACTATCTCTGGTAAGTGAAGTTTTAGAATGTGAACTTACAAAATAAGTCTACATTTCTTTCTTTTTAACTTAAAAATTACTTATTATTTATTTATTTCAAAGGCAGAGAGAGAGATACAGAGAGAGAGAGAGAGAGAGAGAGAGATACCTTCCACCTATGTGTTCACTTCTCAAATTCCTGCAACAGCCAGAATTGGGGCAGGCCAAAACCAAGAACTCCATCCAGATCTTCCACATGGGTGGCAGGGACTAAAGTATTTGTGCCACTACCCACTGCCTCCCAGAGAATGCATTAGCAGGAAGCTGGAATGGAGAGGTAGAGACGGGATTCAAATTTAGGCACCCTGGTTTATAACAAATAGCAAAGGCTAGCCTAGTCAATCTTTTCAGTAGGTTAGGCAAGTCATTAACATTTTTCTAGTGAGCTTCACCCATGGAAATACAGGAGCAGGAGTGAGTGCCTGAGGGAACCGTGAGGGTGTTGGTTGCATCTCATATTCGAGAGCCTGAGTTTGAGTCTCAGCCCACTTATAATTCCAGCTTCCTGCTAATGGACACCAAGAGAGACAGCAGGTGATGGTGCAAGTGGTTGGGTTCCTACCACCTGTGTCGGAGACCCCGTCTGAGTTTCCAGTTCCTGGCTCTGGCCTGGCCCAGCCCTGGCCACCATAGGCATTTGGGCATTGGGCAGTAAACAAGCAGATGGAAGTTATATCTAATTAATCGATTGAAAGAAAGAGAAAGAAATATATGACCAGATAGAGAGAAAGGAGAATATCAGTACATAAACTAATGGAGAAGGTTTGTATTCAAACAGATAAAATTACAAATTCTTGTTTTGCTTCATTTTCTCACACATGAAATAACTTCTTAATAATATGTCTTTATATTTCCATCTGGCATTTCTTATAATATATTAAAATAACTGACAGGTGGCAAGTATTACATAAATGCTATTACTAGGATAAGGAAGGAAACTTTGATCAAGGAAAGACTGATTTTAAATTCCACATCATTTCCCTGTCTTTTCTCTTCTCCTCTTCTCTTCGGGTATAGATATCTCTTCTACTTTATTCAAAGCAAATCCATTTTAAAAGTGATAGACTGGAAAGCACAAAAATATTTGTTGATTCCAGCTATCTGATATGTACCTGACCCTGCAGTATTATGAGACAGCCTTGACAACAGAGCTTTCATCTGCTGGTTCACTCTCCAAATGTTTGCAAGAATCAGGGCTGCACCAGGGCCAAAGCTGGGAGCAAGGAACCCAATCATCTGAGCCACCACTGCTACTTCCCAGGATCTACACTTGGAGTCATGAACCAGAGCAGTGGGGCTGGTGCTGTGGCGCAGGTTAAGCCACCACCTATGAGGCCAACATCCCTATGAGTACCAGTTCTGCTTCTGATCCAGCTCCCTGCTAATGTGCTTGGGAAAGCCGCAGAAAATGGCCCAAGTGCTTGGGCCTTTGCCATCCATATGGGAGACCTTGATGAAGTTCCAGGCTCTTGGCTTCAGCCTGGCCTGGCCATTGTGGCCATTTGGGGAGTGAACCAGTAGAGAAGGTGTCTCTCTTTCTCTCTATAACTGCCTTTCAAATAAATAAATAATTCTTAAAACAAACAAAAAAAGTAGTCAGAGCTGGGAAATTGAACCCCCCAGCACTCTGATGCAGAAGTAGGCATCTATTTATTTATTTATTTATTTTTTGGCAGGCAGAGTGGACAGTGAGAGAGAGAGAGAGACAGAGAAAAAGGTCTTCCTTTTCTGTTGGTTCACCCTCCAATGGCCGCTGCAGCCGGCGCACCGCATGGATCCGAAGCCAGGAGCCAGGTGCCTCTCCTGGTCTCCCATGCGGGTGCAGGGCCCAAGGACTTGGCCCATCCTCCACTGCACTCCCTGGCCACAGCAGAGAGCTGGACTGGAAGAGGGGCAACCGGGACAGAATCCAGCGCCCCGACCGGGACTAGAACCCGGTGTGCCGGTGCCACAGGTGGAGGATTAGCCTAGTGAGCCACGGCGCCGGCTTTTTTTTTTTTTTTTTTTTTTGATTTATTTAGAAGTAGGCATCTTAACTATGAGGCTAAATGCTACTCTCAACTACTTTTGTTTAAAATTGTTTAAATTTTATTTATTTTTTCAAACAATCACTTTTTAAAATATCAATTACAAAAACAGTTAAATCAGAACACAAAAAAGTCCGAAAAGTAGCAGATATGCACACACAAACACACAATTTTCTTTCCCTGAAAAAAGAAAACCAAAAGTTTACAGAAGGGGCTGGTGCTCTGGCGCAGGAGGTAAGCCACCACTTGTGACACCAACATCCCACACTGGAGTACTGGGTCAAGTCCTGCCTGCTGCACTTCCAATCCAGTTTCCTGCTAATGTGCCTGGGAAGGCAGTAGAAAATGGCCCAGGTACTCAGGCTCCTGCCACCTACGTGGGCGACTAGGATGGAGTTCACACCCCAAATGGCTGCAATAGTCATGACTGGTCCATGCTGAAGTCAGGAGCTGGGAACTCAACCCAGGTCTCCCACATGGGTGGCAGGGACCTAACTACCTGCAACATCACCTGTGCCTCCCAGGTTGCACATCAGCAGAAAGCTGAAATGGACAGCAGAGCTGGGATTCAAACGTAGGCACTCTGATTTGGGAAGTGGGCATCCCAATGCGCATCTTAACTGCTACACCAAAAGCCTATCACACAGTAAGTGATTTGAATGCCTCAATGCTTCTTAAAACAAGAGCATACATGTTCTTTTCATCTGTTCTAGAAATTAGTTTTATTTTCTTCTTCCCTCATTTAGTAAATCAAATTAATTCAGCCACCAAGAGATTCATTACCAGTTCACTCAAGTCCCTTTGCATTTAAACTATTCAAACTAAGAATTTCCAGAAGTAATGGCTTTACATAATGGATGTTATCAAAATAATGTTGAATAAGTAAAATACCCTTACATCCATAATCATTTTGCAGTTTTTACAAGGTCCAATCTGGCTAAAGAGCTGGAGAATTAGAGCTTCTGTCACATCTCTGGAAAGGTTACCGACATATCTGAAACACAAAGAAAAACAATTTACCATTTTAGATTTGCTTCTTTTTCAAGTTGCTTACTAAAAAATGATTTCAGAGAATAGGTAGATCTCTGCTCACACTATATTATTTGGGAGTAACTTATAAATCTGCCAATACCTAAAAATCTCTTTCAAAATAGCGGTAAAATAGGTTATTTGCAAATATATTAGACACTGCTGGTAGAGGGGAAGCTAGTCTGTTCGTATATGCATGTTTGAGTCAAGGGTTTGCAAATTAAAGCATGTTTCTAAATGTCTAGACTTATCTTAGGAAGATATGCTTTTAAAATTCTCCAGTGAATCATTATTAGATGTACAGAATATTTCATAAAATCTATCTTGGGAAGCCCTGCAATTACTTCTACTATTACTGAGAAATTAATTTTCCTTCAATTTTTAATTCATATGACTCCCCTAATACTGTTTAATTTAGGTAGACTTTGCTTATGCAATGAACAAATGTTTGAAAAGTTACATGTGAGTCACATACAAGGTGGTGTGGAGGCTCCCAAAGGGATGGGAAACCTTTCCTTGAACATCCCGATCAGAAGGGTAAAAGGGAATAGAGAGCTTCCAGATAATATGAGTTGTGACTAACAAAATTAACATAAATTATACAAGACCACATGACTGAGATATCTTTATGTAAAGAGTTTACACATAAATTTTCCCAAAATGGGATTCTGAAATGAGATTATGTCTACTATGTTACAGAGTTAGTTTTATATCACTTCTGAAATCAAAGCAGTTTCCCAAGAACTGTTCTCATCCTTCTGCTGGGTAGCCATCAGAGGATCTGAAAGGTATAAACTCGCACCAGAAAAATAAACATCTATCCAAGCCCACTGAGTATGGATTCGATTTCTTCTCTCTACCAAACACATATTGAGTTCTCACTCTGAAGCCACTAGAAGATGGAAAAAGGAGAAGTGCTAGGGTGGGTACCATGGAGCAGTGGTTAAGGCTGCAGTTTGGGACTCTAGCACACCACATCAGAGTGCCTGGTAAGAATCCTGGCACTCCCCTTCCGATCCAGCTTCCTGCTAACGTGCCTAGAAGGCAGAAGCTAATGGCCCAAGTACTTGGGTTCTTGTCTCCCACATGGGAGATGGATTTTGCCTGGAGTAGCCCTAGCTGTTATTGTCACTCTGCCTTTCAAATAAGTAAACCTAAAAAAAAGGGGAGGGGAGGGGAGGGGAGGGGAGGGGAGGAAAAAAAAAGAAAAGAAAAGTGTTGACTCTTCAGGAACAAATAGCATTTAAAGACAAGGTAGGATGATGGCCCCTACAGCCTGCCTGTGACTCTACCTGCCCTCACGTGCACTTGGCAGCACTTACAGATAGAGACGGTACCAACTTACAATGTCCGACTTAGGGGGCTGGTGCTGTGGTGTAGCAGGTAAAGCTGCCGCCTGCAGTGCCAGCATCCCATATGAGTGCCAGTTCAAGTCCCGGCTGCTTCCCTTCCAATCCAGCTCTCTGCTATGGTCTGAGAAAGCAGTAGATGGCCCAACTCCTTGGGCCCCTGTACCAATGTGGGAAACCCAGAAGAAGCTCCTGGGACCTGGCTTCAGCATAGCTCTGGCCACTATGGCCAACTGGGGAGTGAACAAGCGGATGGAAGACCTTTCTCTCTCTGCCTCTCCTTCTCTCTGTGTAACTCTTTCAAATAAATAAATAAATCTTAAAAAAAAAAAAAAAAAGTCCCACTTAGGAGTTTGTGACTTTATGGTGGTGGGAAAGGAATATGCACTCAGTAGGAAGGATGCTTTGTGTCTGGACCTCTTCTTGGGTTAGTGATATGCAGTACGATTTTCTCTGGCTGTGCTGAGCAAGGGCAGTGCTGGCGCTCCCAGCTAGCCAGATGATCATGAGGGGAAACAATCGCTATCCGCAGTGTACTTTGGTACCCGGCATTTCGTACACAGGTGTGTACGTCTTCATCCTTGGCGTGATGAAGCATGAGCATGCTTTGGAATTAATTATATGTGTACTTTATGCACGATGGCAATGGTGTTCACTATGTACAGCCACGAAACAAAAGGGGAATCAGACACTTCTGGCAACCACACCGTGTTCATGGCCACTAAAAGGCACGAGACTGGGCTGAGAACAGGCAAGGGCCCTCTCCATCAGATCCACCAGCACTTCTCTACCTTTACCGGCTTACAAATGCTCTTTGTACTGAGTAAGCACTTGAACAGAGTTAACTCCACTAAGGGGAAAACTTATACTTGAGCTGGTCCTGGAAAGGCAATTTCAAGTAGAAGGTTCCACATGCCTTTTTTTTTTTTTTTTTTAATTATTAGCTCATTTAGGGGTAGGGAACCTTTTTCCTGTCAGAAGTTATTTGGGGGGCCAGTGCTGTGGCTTAGCGGGTAAAGCCACCACCTGGGTGCCAGTTTGAATCCTGGCTGCTCCACTTCTGATCAAGCTCTCTGCTATGGTCTGGGAAAGCAGCAGAAGATGGCCCAAGTCCTTAGGCCCCTGCATCCAGGTCGGGGAACCAGAAGAAGCTTCTGGCTCCTGGCTTCAGATAGGCGCAGCTCTGGCCATTGTGGCCATCTGGGGAGTGAACCAGAGGGTGTAAGACCTCTTTCTCTCTGCCTCTATAACTCTGCTCTTCAAATAAATAAATAAATCTTTTTAAGAAAAATGGTCATTTAGATATTTATAACATCATTCTTGGGGCCAGCGCCATGGCTCACTTGGTTAATCCTCCGCCTGCGGTGCTGGCATCCCATATGGGTGCCGGGTTCCAGTCCCGGTTGCTCCTCTTCTAGTCCAGCTCTCTGCTGTGGCCTGGGAGGGCAGTGGAGGATGGCCCAAGTGCTTGGGCCCTGCACCCGCATGGGAGACCAGGAAGAAGCACCTGGCTCTCAGCTTCAGTTCGGCACAGTGCCAGCCATGTTGGCCATTTGGGGAGTGAACCAACGGAGGGAGGACCTTTTTCTCTCTTTCTCTCTCTGTCTATAACTCTACCTGTCAAATAAAAACAAAGAAAAAAAAAAACATCATTCTCAGGCCATACAAAATTATCAACCTAAAAATTAGCCTGCTATAGAGCTACTGAATTTCAGGTCCTGCCTGCAGCTGGCTTCGCAGGAATAGATCAAGTGACAAGGCCTGTAGGCCCTACGTTCTCCACCTCTGCAAGGTGCACCACTGTTAGAGAACTCGGGGGCTTAGCACATAAGCGACAGACTTCCCAAACGACCTTGACTAATATACTCAGGCCCTTTATACTCTTTCCTAGAACCTAAAAAACTCTCCTTTGATGTAGCTGGAAATGCTCTAATGTTCCTATCAGAGAATTCATTTGCAAATAGCTTTGCTGTTTTTAAATTTAATACCAACTGTCAGGAACCCCTGAAGTTTTGAACTCTTTATAACATTTCAGAGTATGATGCACTGATCATGATGGGGTCAGGGCAAAACAGGGACAGGCAAAGACCTAGGTACCAGGAATAGTTGTGAAGCCTCGCCTGAGAAGTGATACTTTCATCCAGTAGGTCAATAATCATGAATAAAGTATAGCTTTTAGATAGCAGAAGTACAATGTCCACAAACAACTGGCTCCTCCTTTTTTATAAAAATACCTCTGTAATTAAAACTTTCAATGGTTTGTATTTTTAGAATTTTTCTTTTCATGATCCAGAACTGAGTTTGCTAGAACCAGCTTAACGGAGTATTCACCCTTTGCCTTTGTATTTCTTTTTTTCTTCTTTTTGACAGGCAGAGTTAGACAGTGAGAGATAGAGATAGAGATAGAGATAGAGATAGAGATAGAGAGAGAGAGAGAGAGAGAGAGAGAGAAAGGTCTCCCTTTTCCGTTGGTTCACCCCCTAAATGGCCACCACAGCCAGCACACTGTGCCAATTCGAAGCCAGGAGCCAGGTGCTTCCTCCTGGCACCCATATGGGACACCGGCACTGCAGGTGGTGGCTTTACCCGCACTTGGGCCATCCTCCACTGCCTTCCCAGGCCACAGCAAAGAGCTGGACTGGAAGAGGAGCAACTGGGACAGAATCTGGCGCCCCAAATGGGACTAGAACCCGGGGTGCCGGCGCCACAGGTGGAGGATTAGCCAAGTGAGCCGCGGCACTGGCCTGTATTTCTTGAATTGTGATAGATCTCTATTGACTTCAGGCTACAGAACCAGCTGAGGTAAGCTCAGGTACGTAAGGATGGATGTCACTAGCTTCTTTTTTGCTTAACCTAGAAATTACTTCAATATATTTATCCTTTACATACACTGCATCATGTTGAAGGTGATTAAACAATTTTATACAAATTAATAGATACAAATCTAAGGACATTCCATTTAAGAGGCATATAAGAAAATGTCATATACTTTTATTTAATTTAAAATGTGTTAATTACTCAATTACCATATTTAACCAATATTCAGAGCAGCTTCTATGTACTAGGAATCATAGGAGATGCCACTAGCTTTTCCCCATCCCTCTGTACTCCAAAATCTATGCTCAAATGATTAAATCTGTCATCAAAACAATATTCATGAGAATGGGTCTTAAGCTCTGAAGGTAGTACCCAAAAATAGTATCCTACATTGGTGGTAGACAAAGAAAGCATTGGGGTTGGCATTGTGGTGTAATGGTTATACTACAGCTGGTGCTTTGGCATCACAAAGGGGTGCTGGTTTGAGTCCCAGCTGCTCCACTTCCAATCCAGCTCCCTGCTAATGTGCCTTGGAAGACAAAGCAAGCATCACTTATCTAATCATATTTAAAATGCACTATAGAGGGGCTGGAGCTGTGGCACAGTGGGTTAATGGCCTGCTCTGGCCGCTGGTTCTAGTCCTGGCTGCTCCACTTCCCATCCAGCTCTCTGCTATGGCCTGGGAAAGCAGTAGAAGATGGCCCAAGTCCTTGGACCCCTGTACCCACGTGGGAGACCTGGAAGAAGCTCCTGGCTCCTGGCTTTGGATCAGTGCAGCTCTAGCCATTGCGGCCATTTG